CAATCCCATGCATGAATGGACCAACAGCAATCAAGACTCAATTATAACAGGAGGACCCACATAATATACACAAGGGACATTCCTAGAGGACCCAGCTCAGGTGATCAGGGATACTGTACCACTGGGTCTCATAGGACGCCTACTACATAAGGCCACCCTACCAAGACTGGGAGTCAGAGCAAATCTACCTAACACACGGAAGCAAACACTAAGAGGGAGTCAAAAGGAGGAGAAAGAAATGGGCCCCAAATGAAAGAACAGAAGAAATCCACAGGGAAAAAAAAAAGGAGCTAAAGGAAACAAAGACAAGCAATTTATCAGATATAGAATTCAAAAAAATGATTATAAGGATGGTCAAGGAACTTAGTGAGAACTGCAGCAACATGAAGGATACAGAAACAAAACAAAAGAACCAGTCAGAAATGAAGAATACACTGCAAGTAATAAACAGTTGGATGGATGAGGCAGAAGATTGAACCAGTGATTCGAAAGACAAAGTAGCAGAAAATACCTAATTAGAGCAGGAAAAAAATTAAATTTTTTAAAAAAGCTTTTAAAAATTAGGATATTTTAAAGAATCTTTGGGACAACCTGAAGTGTAACAACATCTGTATGATACGGATCAAACAAGCAGCTTTGGTTTGTGAGACAATGTCCAATCCACTGAGCTATAACTGCCAGGCCTAAAGAGAGAATGTTAAAAGTAGCAAGAGAACCCTGGCTGGTGTGGTTCAATTGGTTGGGCATCCTCCTGCAAAGTAAAACGTCACCTGTTAAATTCTTGGTCAGGGCACAAGCCTGGGTTGCAGTTCTGTCCCCAGCTGAGACATGTGCAAGAGGTAACTGATCAATGTTTCTCTCCCTCTCTTTCTCCCTCCCTTACCATTTCTCTCAAATCAATACAAAGAAAAACAAAAAGCAGCAAGAGAAAAACAGTTAGTTGCTAGCAAGGGAGCTTCCATAAAACTGTCAGCTGATTCCTCAACTGAAACATTTTAGGCCAGAAGCAATTGGCATGAAATAATCAAAATGATAAAAAGCAAGAACCTAAAATAAGGAATACTTTACTGAGCAAGGTTATCATTTAAAACTGAAGGAGGCCCTGGCTGCTGTGTCTCAGTAGATTAAGCACTGGCCTGTGAACCGAAAGGTCACTGGTTCAATTCTCTGTCAGGGCATGTGCCTGGGTCCCCGGTTGGTGTGTGCAAGAGGCAACTCATGTATCTCTCATACATCAATGTTTCTCTCCTTCTCTTTCTCCCTCCCTTCTTCTCTCTCTAAAAAATAAAAATAAAATATTTTTTAAAAAGAAAACAAGGCCCATATATATGCTATCTACAAGTGACCCATCTCAAAATGAAAGATACACATAGACTAAAATTAAAGGAATGGAAAAAATTTTCATGTAAACTGAAATTTTTTAAAAAGCTGGGGCAACAATACTTATACCTAACAAAATAGACTTTAAAACAAAGATTATAGTATGAGACAAAGAAGATCACTACATAATGATAAAGGGAACAATCCAACAAGAGGATATAACCCTTGTAAACATTTATGCATCCAACAAAGCAGCACCTAAATATGTAAAGCAAATCCTGAAGGACATAAGGGAATAGAGCAACAGTAAATGCATAGTAGGGGATTTTAACACCCCATTGACATCAGTGGATAGATTTTCCAGACAGAAAATTAACAAGGAAACTGTGGCCTTAAATGACACACTAGATCAGATGGATTTAATTGATTATTCAGACAATTATATCCCAAAGCAGCAGGATATACATTCTTTTCAAGTGCACATGGAACATTTTCTGGGATAAACCACATGGTAGTCCACAAAAGAAGTCTCAATAAACTTAAGATTGAAATCATATGAAGCATCTTCTCTGAACACACACAGACATGGACGCTAAATAACATGTTACTAAACAATGAATGGGTTAACAATAAGATCAAGGAAGAAATAAAAAAATACCTTGAACTAATGAAAATGAGAACAGCAATCCAAAAATCTATGGGACACAGTGAAAACAGTCCTAAGAGGGAAATTTATAGCATTACAGGCCTACCTCAAGAAATAAGATAATCTCAAATAAGCAATCTAATTTTACACATAAAGGAACTAGAAAATAACAAAGCCCAAAGTTAGTAGAAGAAAGGAAATAATAAAGATCAGAGCAGTAATAAACAAAATAGTCTTAAAAAAACAATGTAGAAGGTCAATGAAACCAAGAGCTGGTTCTTTGAGAAAATAAATAAAATGGACAAACCTTTAACCAAACTCATCAAGAAAAAAAGAGAAGACCCAAATAAATAAAATCAGAAATGAAAGAGTAACAACTGACACCCACGAAATACAAAGGATTATAAGAAAATATTATGAACTACATGCCAATAAATTTAACAGTCTGGACAAAATGGACAAATTCCTAGACACATGCAATTTCCCAAAACTGAATTAGGAAGAATAAAAAATTCTGGATAGATTACAACCAATGAAACTGAAGCAGTAATTTTTAAAAAACTCCATATTTCCAAATGACATGATATTGTATGTAGAAAATCCTAAAGATTCAATAAAAAGCCTAAAATTGAAAAATGAAATCAGTAAAGTAGCAGAATACAAAATAAATATCCAGAAATCAGTTGCATTTACATATACCAATAATGAATTATTAGAAAGGGAAACTATGAATACAATCCTATTTACAATTGCATCGGAAAATAAAAACTAAAATACTGAGGAATAAATTAATCAAGGATGTGAAAGACTTGTACTTGGAAAATTATAAGACACTGAAGAAACGGAAGACACTACAGTACAAGGCCATAATAATCAAAACAGCATGGTACTGGCACAAAAAATAAACATATAGCACCCCCAGCCATCTCACCCGCTGCTCCTGCTGCCAACCCGAGCTCCACGCAGTTTAACAAGTGGCCCTCGTGGGCTTTCAGGCCAGGCCAAGAACTGGCTCCTATCCAAATATAGCCCTCAGTAGGCAGAACTCCGTAGGTGGATTGAGGGACTCATGGGTCTACTGGTTCTGACTTCCAGAAAGGTATGCAGGGTGGGATTATTCTGTGCCCACTGACAAGTAAGTTGCAGCCCAGCTAGGTCCCTAAGGTTAACCACTCCATGCAGAATTGACACCATCTAGAAAACCTCTCTGACTTCATCAAGGCTGTGGTTGGCTATGGCATGAACGCCGTGGACCTATTTGAGGCCAGTGACCTGTTTGATAGCGGAAATGTGACATAGGTGCTAATGTCTCTTCTGGCTCTGGCAGGGAAGGCCAAGACAAAGGGGCTGCAGAGTGGTGTGGACATTGGCATCAACTACTTGGAAAAGCGGCAACGGAACTCTGATGACCTTACTGTGAAGGCAGGCCAGTGTGTCATTCAGCTCCAGGTGGGCACCAACAAGTGTGCCAGCCAGTCAGACACAATGGCATAAGGCACAAGAAGACATCTGTACAACCCCAAGAACCATATCCTGCCACCCATGGACCACTCAACCATCAGCCTCCAAATGGGCGCCAGCCAGGTGGGTATGACATCTCCTGGGCCCCAGCAGCACACCTATGACACCAAGTTGGGGCATGACGGCTGTGACAATTCCTCCATGTCTCTGCAAATGGGCTTCACACAGGGCACCAACCAGAGCGGCCAGGCTCTGGCTTGGGCCAGCAGACATACGATCCCAAGTACTGCCTAGAAGGCCCAGCGGCCAACGGGGCTCCAGGGTCAGCAGGTGACTACCCAAGCCCAGGGAAGGCCCCAGAATACCCCCTCTACCACCACGAGGAGGCAGGCTACTGAGGCCCCCATCGTGGGGTGTCTCCCTGTTTTCACCTCATCTGGGATTTCAGGTTTTTCTGTCCTCTTTTCTGTGTTCTAGTGCTTCCAGCTGAGGCTCTGTAAAGGCCAGATTGAGATGCTTGTGAGGTGGGAGGTACCTGCAAGGGCACATCCACACGGCTAATTTCCCAGCAGGCTTTGGGCTGTGAGGGTGAGAAGAAAACTCTGCAGGGAGGGAAATGGCCCCAAGTGGCTTCTGGGTGTTTCTGTCTCTCTTCCCTTTTCTCTCATCAGTTTGTGGTTTCTATACCCAAGTTTCAGGCAGTTTGAACAAAAGGAATTTGGGGTGGGGGATGATGGAGGGGAGGATGCTGGGAGCGAAGTCCCCTAAGAGAGGGACAGGCCACAGTCCCTTGATACTTCAGGCATCAGGAGGGGCTGGATTTCCCCAGGACCCTCCAAGGGGCCCAGTGAGGAAAGTGAAGCCCAGAGAGGACAATGGAGTTCTGAGCAGTTGAGGCAGAGCCAGAACTCCATACCCTCCTTCCATACCAGTCCCTTCTCCCCTACAAAGTACTACACAGTGACCCCCACCAGGAGGCCCTCTCTGGGACCAACCCCCCCCAGGAGCCCTGGGAACAAGAGATAATGTGAAACATCAACTGTGGACCAAAGGCAATAAAAACCTACGTTTTATGACACAAAAGTTAAAATCTCAAATTAAACTCTAACTAGTTGAATTTCAGGCAAAATACCCGAAAAGTAAAAAATAAAAGCCAGATTGTAAGTATACATTGGGAAAGTTGGGGACCACTTCCAGGTAGGTCATACTGAGTGTGTACACACTTTCTTTGCACCATTTCTACTTTTCATGGCTTCTTCCCTTTATCTAAAGCTTGACTTAGAAATTCTCTGAGATACCAATGGCTCTTCTGGAGATCCCTCCTCACTCACCCAGCCAATGAGCGGGGACATTGCAGGGCAGCTGGAGAGACAGAACTCTATCATGGAGAAAAAAATGTCTCTAGTAAGAGGTTTACTTTCAACCTAATAATAGTACATTACTATTCATAATATATGTAATTTACAGTTTAGGTAAATTCTTATTGTATAAAAACATACAATAAAATCCTGTAAGAAACTTGGAAATGATGCTTGATAATGCTCTTTAAATAAACAGATTACAATAACACTAGTTATTGGCTAGTGCAATCAGTTTTTTTTAATTCTCTTTGATTTTTTCTCCTGGTCTTCTGTTATTCTTTCTGCAGGTCGCTTCTTCAACCCCTTCATTTTCCTGGTTTGTAGTTTGCTCAAGTCTTGCTTCTGCATATGAATCCTTCCATAAGTTGTACCAAAAGTATCATGGGAGATATTTTTCTTCTTCTTTGGCTATGAAACAGAATATATATATTTAATGGTCTCTGCAATTATGAACTGATAAAAAATCTAATGTACAACAACTATCAAACTATTTCCATTAGTGAGCACCTCCCTTCAATGTTATAGAGTGTGCAGCCCTACGGACCTTTCTTCTCAAATTCAAATGTACATATAAGTCATTTGCAGATCTTGTTAAAATGCAGATTCTAATTCAGTAGGTTTGGGTGGGTCTGAGATTCAGTTATTTCTAACAATGCCCAAATAAACTGTTAGACCCCACTTTGATATGCAACACAATAGATTACGCTAACCTTTAACATACACTGACAGAATTTCCTGTGTTTAGCTTAAAGAATTGTGACTATATCTTTACTGGCATTCCAAAGATGCCATCTCTACATGTCCTTTAAAACCATTCAAAAGTCAAAGCACATTTTATGCGAGTACAGGTTACGCATCCTGTGCTCTAAATCCCCAGTCTTTACAATGTCCAAAACAATTCTTTTTCCTGTAAATTGGCATTCTTGGCCAGCCAGAAAATTCTCAGCCATACTTGATGCTTAGTTTCTGCAAGTCTTTTATTTATCCTTTATGGTCGGCTTATTTGCTTCCTTCTCCTTTTCTTGAGAGTCTAATTTTACCTATTATATTTATCTCTTTAGGTATGTCCTTTAACGTATGCCTTTTTGGAAAGAGTAGAACATACAATCTACAAGTCATGTACCTTGAGGGCTTTCGGCATTTTCAGGGATAACTTATAAAGGTCATCTGATGCCAGGTGTGTCCTCCTCAGAGCCAGGTCCAGGGAGGGTCCCATCTCTTCTAATTCAATGCGTGGCGTTCTGCACCCGGATTTTTTCAACAGCAGCCTTTGTCAAACAGGAAATAGAAATGTTGCTCTGATTTTGATAAACATCCTATCCCCACCAAGTATTTTTGTCCAAGAAAAATTACAGTTCCATAAAATGACAGAATCTTTAGAAAGGCTAAGTATCTTTATACATTTAGGCCAGGTGTATCTTTGACTTGCATATTTTTAAAATTAAAAAATAAAAGTAGTCGATGTTGCTGAGAAACAGCGAGTGAGATAAACAATTCTTCTAAAATGGAATCCTTTGATCTGACTTCATTTTACATAAGATAAAATAATTTTAATTGGGTGTTTTTTTTAAACATTATGTTTAAATGATTAACAAATTCTTTTTTCTCTAAGATACATTTAGAATCAACTTTTCTCCACAGCACCTACACTTACTGATCTCTAAAGATTATAATGAACTCTAAAATCTTAAAATAAACACAACTTTCCGGATACCATGTGTCCAAACAACTGTGGATCTGGAAACACAAGGGATATAGGGGGGCGGCATGGATACCAACAAATTCTTTTTATGAGTGAACCACAAAGACAGTTGAAAGACCTCAAGATTATCTAAACTGACTCAATTTGTTACAGTGGCCAGATGTGTACATGGAAAAAAAGAACTGACTGAATAACAATGTTTATACAAAGTTGGCCTTTTCACACTAAAGCTGGGGTGGGAGAGAGGCAGCAGGTGACATAAGAGAAGAAAAAGAAGAGGGAAGCACAGTAAGCAATACCCAAGAGAGCAGCAAACAATGGAGGAAGTGCATTTGCAAAGGCTAATTACCAGCCCTTTGGGCCGCACGCAGATGGCCAACCAATGCAGTCCACCCACAGGAGATGCGGTTACTGGCTGCAGGAAGATAAATATGCTGTATCAGACACACTAATTTATACCTAATTGAACAAGGGGGGAAAAAAAGAAGGAGAAAACTCCACCAGCCTAGGACATATAGAGTGTTAAAACAAAAAAACAAAAACAAACAAAAAGAAGACTATAGTAAGTAACATTAAAACATAAATGAATATTAGTATGAAACTTGAAGGGAGCAAGCACAGGGTCAAGAGCCTAAAAGAGAGTCCTCGGGCAGCCACTCTCTTTATATGGTTCCAGGAGGACAGAGAGAACACCTGTCTCAGGCTCACTGAGAGGAAAATATTTTTAGAAGCTAAAGTTGGCTGGCTCAGGGAACCTTCCCAAAGAACTAATTCGAAGCATACAGGGGCCCAATGTGTGATCATTGGACTGTCATATCACACACACTTCTGTGTTTGCACCTACATTTTCAGTACCTCATATTTATAATGCTCAATTCGTATCAAGATCAGTATCTTGATGAACACATCAAGAAAAAATGTGTTCAGTTTCCTACTTAAGGAATCAGGGAAATTATATATAAAATTTCAATGAAAGTCTTCTACTGCTTTAAAATGCTTACTAAGTGGAAAACTTGTCAACCCAGGACAGCCCACGGCATGCCAATGGATTCACATCACCCAAGTACCACTAACTAGATGTGGCAAAATTGCTCTAAAGCACCTATTTATAGAAGTGTCCTCATAACAAAGTAATTTTTTTAGTGGCATATAGAATGAAGATTGTCTCTGAATAACTACATATGTTGCTATCTATCAAAGAACTAAGTTACAGTGCCATCCTATCTATGACCTAATATTAATCAGTTAATGTTTACTGACATCAAACTGATAAAAAATAGAAGGAAATGTTCTCTAGTTTTCAGTTCCCTGCACATGGTTTCTGGTGATAGGCCTATCATCCTTTCTCTTTATTGAGCTGTTAATAGTGATGTGTAGAATCTATCTAAAATTATCACCTGTTAACCCTTCAAAAACCAGCCTGTTCACTCTTTCTCAGAGGAAATATATTAATAGAGAATTTATAATATTTTTGTGATCATGCTAAGAAAACCAAAAAGACTATAGTTAACTCAGTAAAACCATTTCCTTCACCTTCATCACATTATACAAACTGCATCTTTTTTAAAAAAATATTTTATTTACTTTTAGAAAGAGGGGATGCGAAGAAGAGATGGAGAGAAACATCAATGTGTGGTTGCCTCTCACATGGCCCCCCTACTGGAGACCTGGCCTGCAAACCAGGCATGTGCCCTGACTGGGAATCGAACCCAAGACCTTTTGATTCACAGGCCAGTGCTCGAGACCCTGAGCCATACCAACCAGGGCCACACTGACAAATTTTTAAAAAAGATACAGTAGTGTCCTCTTATCTATGGTTTCATTATCCTCACTTTCAGTTACTGGTGGTTAATGGTGGTCCTATAATATTAAATGGAAAATTCCAGAAATAAACTATTCGTAAGTTTTAAATTGTGCACTGGTCCGAGTAGCATGAAAAACGTTCGCAGCGTCCCATTTTGTTGGGCCCAGCATCTCCATGCAGTACAAGCTCCCTGACTGTCATGTAGCAGCCATCCGGGCTCTTAGGTCAACGGTCAAGGCACTGCGGTGCTTGTGCTCCAGTTACCCTTATTTGACTTAATAATGGCCCCGAAGTGTAAAAGTAATGATGCTGACAGCTTAGATATGCCATCAAGTGCTTCCTTTAAGTGAAAAGGTGAAAGTTCTCAATTTAATGAGAAGAAAAATATCATATCCTGAGGTTGCTAAGATGTCTGGTAAGAATAAACCTTCTATCCATAAAGTTATGAAGAAGGAAAAAAAGTCTGTGCTAGTTTTGCTGTCTTACCTCAAACTGCTCAAGTGAAGGCCACAGTGCCTGGTAAGCGCTCAGTTAAGATGGGAAGAGACATGACATTCGTGGGTGAAAGACATGAACAGAAAACGTGTTCCGACTGACAGCAATGGGTTGCACCAGAAAGCACTGAGCCTCTATGAAGACTTCAGCAAGGGATCCCTTGAGACAAGTGACACACCATGCCATTTACTGCAAGTAAGGGTTAGCTACAGATTCACGAATAGGTTTGGACTGAAAAACTAAAAATTACTAGAGAGGCTGCGTCTGCTGCTGAAGAAAAGGACGAGCTGAAGAAGTTGATTAGGGTTCGGTACTATCCTTGGTTTCAGGCGTCTTAGAACATATGCCCCATGGACAAGGCTGCACAAATGGCACTGCTGCAGAGAAGACACTTTCCACACTTAACTGCTGGCTCTCAGGCTGCCCTGCCAGGCCACAGCTCAACGTAAACATCAGTCTGAATTTGATGTTCAAAGGCATGCAGTTTGTCTGAGTCAATGTACTCTCTAGGAAAGCATGGGCTCTGTCAACTAAAAAGGCACAATTGTAGCACGTCATTAAGCTATTTAAGAAAAACAAAAGCAGCTCGTTATGATTTATATTGTGGTGGGGGAAGGGGTGGTAGGTCTAGGCTGAAGAAAGAGGGTAAAATGAATCCAGGCACTGAGTCTTCTTATTCTTTTCAGATTCCATTTTTTTGACTCAGGGTTTTGAGATTTGCTTTGGCTGGCCTAAGTGTTGTAGCTTGGCGCTCTAAGTCTGCTCAGGAAAAATAAGGAGGTACTGCATCAAGAAGGGTCAACACTGCATTAGTGTTCTAAGCTCAGAGGGAGGGCAGCGTTAGATGCTCCAGGGCCCTGGAAGAACAGGGTTTCAGACAGAATTAGCAGGGAACACGCGTGAGGATCAGTACAGAGGGCTGTGCCACTGCTGGCTGGAAAACTTTCCAAACTTTTGGCCCAACATCAATTCCAAGTTTGAGCTCCATAAACAGTCACACTAAAATACTAACCACGGGGATTAATAAAAACAGGCTAAGAAATGCACTTACTTATAGCTTCGAAAGTAAATTTTCCCATTCAGTGCAGTGAAGTGCAGGACATACTCTAAACCAGCCAGGCGGATATTTGGTACAGTGGGACCTCTGAAAAAATCTAAAAGCACACACATTAGACTGTTAAAACGAATCCCTGAAAAATGTCTGACTGTTCCGCCCCATCCCTCTGCTAATCTCATGACTGTACTTCTCTGTTTAGTTTACTAAGCCATTTTATTTTTCTTATTATTTTTTTAACCCTTACCCAAGGATACATTTTGTTGATTTTGGGCGGGGGGGGTGGGGGGGGACAGAAAGAAACATCGTTCAGTTGCCTCCCGTATGCGCTCCTAGGTATATGCCCTGACCAGGGATTGAACTTGCAACCTTTTGGGACAACCTTCTAACCAACTGAGCCACTTGGTCAGGGCTACTAAGCCATTTTAATTTTTCAGTTTTGAAGCTCTCCCTCTAAGCCAATGCTCAGCATAGAAATGTGTCATATTTAACATGGATATTAACTATCAAGGCATAAAACTTTAATCTATAAAACAGGTTAAGATGGCAAATTTCTACAAAAGCGGATGTTGAAACATTCACTATTAAATCAAACAAGACTTTATTTTATGTTGGAGGCCAAATAAGCAAGAAAATTCTACCAAGAAAATCTCAATTGTTAAAGTCAAGAAAAAACCAAGATCAGTGATTAGGCTGTTTTTTCCCAACAGACTGATAATCCTACCACTGGTGGCACATGAGATTATCCTAAATTATAATACAGGCAGATATAACTTACCATGTATTATTTATTTTATGATATCATTTTCTACTCATGGTATGGACATAAAGTTTCCTTTTAAAAAGGAGAATTAATTTAAAGAAAAATCCCCAGTGAACAACACCATGGATACTAAGTACATGGACTTGGCTAAAGCTAGGAAGGCAGCACATGAATGAAAAGTATAGAAAACAGCAATCAAGTTTGGTCCCTTCATTTTACTGCTAAGAGAACTGAACCCCAAGGAGGATAAATGGGAATACACAAATAACATTTAATAAGAAAAACTTATACGTAAGTTTATCCACCTGGAGCTCTCATATACTGTTGGTGGAAATGTACAATTGGACAACCTCATACAAAACAGTTAAGCAGTTTCTTAAAATGTTGAACATATACTATTCAAATGACTCTACCATTATAGTCCTAGAAATGAAAACATATGCCCTTACAAAAATTTGTATATAAATGTTTATAGCACATCTATTGATTAATAGTCAAAAGCTGGAATCAACCTAAATGTCTATCAACAGATGAAGAAATAAACAAATTATGGAACAGATATAAATGGAATACTGCTTGGCAATAAAAAGAAGTAACTACTGATAACACACAGCAAAGCAACAAGGATGAATCTAAAAAAACTTGGGTAAAGAAACTAGGCTAAGAAAAGTACACACTACATGATTCCATTTATCTAAAACTCTAGAAAATACAAACAAATCTATGACAGAAAGAAGATCACTGTTTGCTTAGAACAGAGGAAAAGGATGGATTGTAAAGGGGTGCAGGGAAATTTTGGCAGGTGATAGAAGGTTCTGTATCTTGACTGCAATGGTGTTTTCACAAGAGTACACATGTCAAAATCTATCAAATTTTTAAACTTTAAATGTGTACTTGACTGTAAATTATACCTCAAAAGTTACTTAAAAATAATTTAAAATGAAAAAAATTTAAAGTAATCCCTAAAAACTGAAAACAAAATGAAACCTATGTACTAAGAGGCAGGTATAATCATACAGAAAAGGGCTTTCAAGAGTGACTTCAAAACACAGTAACTTAACCGTATCTTCCCAACACAGTGTATCATAAACACAACTGCAAAACAAACAAAAACCAGAAACATTCACCTGCACTCAATGGTAATATAACCAGTGGTAACATTGGTATTCTATGCTGAGACTGTTATGTGTATAGACAGTATTAAGTAACTGCACAATTATGTTGAAGTCACTGAGAACCTGAATTACTGTATTGGATGAAAGAAGGTACTTATGTGAGGTCAAGGAGAGATTGTTTTGTCCTAAATTTGGGTTAGAAGTTTCAGTATGAACTCAGGATATATTTTATCTTAACAAACAAACAAATTTCATAGTTCTGTCCACTACAAAAGCCTAGAAACAATGATTAACCCAGAAACAATCCATAGCATGCAGACTGATTTGTAAAATAATTTCTCACTTTTGCCCCGGCTGGTGTGGCTCAGTGGTAAGTGCTGCCCTGTCAACCAAAGGCTCACCAGTTCGAGTCCCAGTCAGGGCACATGCCAGGGCACATGTGGGCCAGGTCCCCAGTTGGGGGTGCGCAAGAGGCAAGCACACATCGATGTTTCTCTCCCTCTCTTTCTCCCTCCTTTCCCTTCTGTCAATAAATAAATAGATAAATAAAATCTTTTTTAAAAAAATTCTCACTCAAAAAAACCCAAAATCAACCAACCAACCAAACAAACAAAAAGCCTCCCCAAAACCAGGGCACCCTGATTTGTGTGGCTCAGTGGGTTAGGCGTCATCCCCAAAACCGAAAAGGTCAGTGGTTTGATTCCCAGTCAGGGCATATGCCTACGTTGTGGGCCAGGCCCCAGGTTGGGGACATGCCAAAGGCAATCCATAGATGTTTCTCTCCCACATTGATGTTTCTCTTCCTTTCCCTCTCTTTCTCCCTGCCTTTCCCTCTCTCTAAATATAAATAAAATCTTAAACAGAGAAATAGCTGATCCCAGGATTGTAGCAATAAAAGTACAAGAGGAGTTTGAAACATCAAAGGGGTAATGTGATGATGGATGACAGTGTGTTGAACCCTGGACAGTGTATTGAACCGGAATGTTTATGTTCCCCAAAATACAGAGGTTAAAGCCCTAGCCCCTAATGTTGCTGTATTTGGAGATGGGCCCTGTAAAGAATTAAGATTAAATGATGTGTGTCATAAGGGTAGGGCCCTGATCCCATAAAATTAATGTCCTTATAAGAACAGATACTGGAAAGCTGACATCTTCTTTCCTCTGACTCCCTCCCTCCCTCCTGTGAACACAGATGGAGGAGAAGCTATGTGAGCACATGGCAAGAAGCCAGCCAACAAGACAATTCATACTAGAAACTTTGATCTTGGACTTCTAGCCACCAGAATGGTGAGAAATATAATTCTATTATTTAAGCCTCCCAGTCTATGGTATTTTGTTGTGGCAGCCCAGGAGACTAACACAATGACCTTTGTAGCACTGCAGAAAGGATTAAATTTAATGAATTACCCAACCTAATACGCAGCAATTATTTTCATTATTATATATATTTCAAGTAGAATAAGAATTAGGAAGAAAGGTTAAAAAAATTAAAAGAATGAAAACTAATTATATATGACCACTGATAAAAGGCAAAGAAAAAGAAACCCAGTTAGAAAGTTAAATTTAAGGTAGGCTTAAAGAAACCTTAATAAAACTAACCTATTCTTTGATTTACTGCCATATCTATATACACAGAATAGTCATATACAAAAGTAACCACAAAAAATTAGGATGGCTCTGGCCAGGTGGCTCAGTTGGTTGGAGCCCAGCACACAGAAACATCGATGTTTCTCTCTCTAAAATAAAATACAATAAAATAAAATTTTAAAAAATAAAATAAAATAAAATTAGAATGGCTCATTCCAAGTGGTGCTGAGCCATGGGCCTCTCAAGGGACAACTGGCACAAGCGCCAGAAGACCAGGGGCAAGAGAAGGCCCCACCACAAGCAGCAGAAACATCCCGGCTGCCAACAGTACGACTGGCCCCTGCCGCACACACATAGTCCAGTCCAGTGCAGGGAGGCAACAAGGAGCGTCGTGTTCTGAGGCTGGACATGGGCAACTTCGGGGCTCTGAGTGTTGTATGTGCAAAACAAGGGTTACTGATGTTGTCTACACTGCATCCAATGCTGAACTGGTCCACACCAGGACCCTAGTAAAGAACTGCATTGTGCTTATTGACAGCACACCGCTGACAGTAGTCAGAGTCCCTGTGGGTTGCAAGAAGGGGACCAAGCTGGCTTCTGAGAAGCAAGAGATCTTAAACAAAAAATGATCTAAGAAAATTCAGAATAAATATGATGAAAAGAAAAAGAGTGCCAAAATCAGCAGTCCTCCTGAGGCGCCGTTCCAGCAGGGCAAGCTTCTTGCGTGCATCGCATCAGGACCAGGCCAGCGTGGCTGTGCACAGGGCTATGCGCTCGAGGGCAACGAGCTGGCGTTCTATCTGAGGAAAATCAAGGCCTGGAAAGGCAAATAAATCCTCCTCTCTTCTATCCTAGTCATGTAATAAAGGTGTTTATTGTTAAAAAAAAAAAGTTAGGATGAATTGAATATAAAAATAAGTATTACTAATTTTCCATAAAGTAGGACCCACTAAGATTAACCACCAAATTATATATTTAAGAAAGCAAAGCAGAAGCAAAATTCTGGATGAACAAAATGGGTACCTGCCACGAAAACACTGAAGAAGTTAACTTGCCTTTCTGGCCAATCTCTCTCTCTCTCTCTCTCTCTCTCTCTCTCTCTCTCTCACACACACACACACACCCACCCTCCCTCCCTCCCTCCCTCTCTCCCTAAAGGAAGAAAGCCCTTGATAAAGTCTCTTTCCCTCTGCTCTACTTTATTTCATTTGACCACAACACAAACTAGAAGTCTGCAACTGCTTTACTTCACATTTGTATTAAAATCTCAACTTCCCTTGGTACCCAACAACTTAACTCCATTTCTCTACTTTTCTATCTTCTTTTCCCAGATTCCTTTACGGTTTTCACTCCCTCCCCGTCATTACTGAAACATGTGGTTATTCCTAACATCCAGAGTAGCACAAAATAAAACCTTTTTAAAAAAATTTTGGTCATTGTCTTTCATGTATGATTTTTAAAAATACAGGTAAGAACCTGTAGCAAAGAGTCCGCACGGAGGTGTTCACCACTGCATGATGGACAGCAGGTGCAAAAAAGCTCAAGCTTTAGGTTTTGATTCTGGCTCACCTACTTAATAGCTCTTAACCTCTCTGAGCCTCCATTTTCCCACCTGTAAAATGGAATGTCACCAAATTCAAGAGCTTTAGGAAGAACTGAATAGATTATAGTGGTATTCAAGTTTTCTAAAAATAGCCATTTATTAATAAAGAAATGAAAAGTTCTGAAAATTGTTAAGCCCAGCAATAAGACCATAAATAATCTCAGTAAGGAAAATGAAAGCAATGTGTCTGTCCACAAACCTTTTTTGGGCAACTAAGATCTATAAAGAGCACGTATACAATTTATTTATAACATATAACCAACCGACTTTTCAAAAATGATCTAGGGCAAAGTATATAAAAATCCAAAAGAAGGGCAACCAAAAAGGTATATGGCTTGGCTTCTAAGCTTGTAAGAATGATGCAAGAAAAGCTGAAATGAAATAAATTATTTAAACTTGAGGTAATGCTGCTGAGTATCAGAAGCATGTATACCTAGAGGCACTAACTAAATTTCCTTCCAGAGTTAGAAAAGAGCTAGCAGATGTGACTGCAGAATGAGTATTGGTAACATTTAAGAAATCATGGAGAACAATTATGCTAACTTTTTAAAAAAGGGGAGAAAAAGTCGTTTAAAACTGGTAAAATTAATGTCAACCTCAGAAGACGACAGTAATTATATACTTGATTTTAAGAAGGTGACTTATGAACATACAGGAAAGAATGTAGTCATAATATAAATCATTAGGAACTGGCATGGTTCACTAAGAATAAGTCATCTATAAAACAATATTACAAGATTACTGTGAGAATGAAGCAGTACATATAAAATGCCTAGTATATAGTTGGCACTTAGAATAACAATAATGAAATAAAAGGAGCTGGGGAGGTGACTGAAGATTTCCTGGGAGAGAAATGAAATTTGCAAGAGTAGAAGAAATCAGATAAATAAGAATGAAATCAGAAAAAAACAATAGGAATATGCACAACATACTTTCAATAAACCACTTTTAATGGAAAAGGAGGAAGAAAATTGGGGGAGATCAAGAAAGCAAGTTATAGTGTGAAAAGCCTTGTATATCAGATTAAGAAAAACTAGTAGAGGTTTTGAATGGAAAGTGCATGATGCATAACCATCTTGAAAGTTTAACTTTTCAACTTTCTAAACTTAATTTAATGATGTCAATAATGATAGGAGATGGGTGCAAGCATTTTATGAAGTGTAAAATGCTATATAAATACATTGAGACCAAAGTTACCATAGCAACAACAAAAAAAAGTAATGATCTATAGAGTATAACATCCTTTTAATTCTCTCCTGCTAGTGGGGAGTAAGAAAATAATGAAAAGGAAGAAAAGAAAGGAGATCAAAAAGAAAAAGCTGTATACCTAGAGTGAAGTGGCTAAAAGCCACCAATGGGCTTAGACTGCCTACCTAAACTGCCCTGCAGATAAGTATTAAAACACTTACCAATAAGGAGATTTTTTAGCCTTCTGTAGTCTTCTGTTACGTCAAAATCATTACCAGCAAATATTAACAGGGGTTTTGTTCCCTCAGGGCATTTACTATTCTATGAAAAAAAAAGGTAATTATATAATTATCAAGTCTAAATTGTTTATATGCTGCTTTTAAAGTTGTTGATACTTACATGTAATGATTCATTTCAGATTTTGTTAACTGTCCTAAAACTATGACTATGAGCAATGGTTTTAGACCTAAAACCAGAGTTGGGATTTTTAAACTTACGTATTTTTAGACTGAAAATAATTTTCATTCTACCATTTCACACAGCCAAATTAATAAGTGGTCAAAGAATGATATAAACTACCTATTACCATTATTCTATGCAAAGAATAAAAAAACTAAACTTGCTATAAAGCAAGCATAACCATCTAATAGTGAAAGTAAATTTAATTTCTTTTAATTATTTGTACCACTGTGCCTTTCCTACTGTATTACATAAACAGTATTTTTTAATGAAAGCTAAATTAAACTACCAACTAAACATTCACATGGGAACCAATATAATTTTATAAAAGCTATTGAAAGTATGAGCTAATCCTCATTCAGCAGGGTTGAAGCTCTTACTAGAAAAAGTATTTTGTCTAGTTCTGGATTTCCTATACCAAGAAGAATGTCATGTAAGTAATAAGAGGATTTAAATTTAAAAGCCATCAAAGTGAATGAAAATCAAATAGAAAAAAATTCTTTAACTGAAGGATTAACTTATAATGGAAGGTAAATGGCTGTTGGTCTGAGTACCCCACTGATTCCAGTACCTCTGCTCTGACATAAATCAAGGATTATTCAAATCTAGCAAAAGAAAGAAAAGAAGAAAAAAAAAAGTCCTTTGCTGTGGGGCCAGTAGTCACCTGTTGCTTCCTGCTTACCTTGACCCCTCTTGCTGGCGTTCCCTGCTTTCAAATCCTGAAACTTAACTGTCTATAATTCGGAGATGTGCCCAACATGTCTGCCTGATCAAGGGCCTGAATGGACTTTCCAGATCCAGTGACTCCCCTGTGCTCTGTCTGTCCTACCTGACCCTCCCACTGCTACCCCTAGGTCTATGGGGGTTATTTAAGTAGTAAGGGAAAAAGTGAGGCAATACCAACTACGTATTTGGCGTTTAAACCATCCTGACCACAATGCATGGTAATAAAAACATTATTTCAAGTCATGACCCAGTATACACATCATAAAAACATTAACTAAACAAGTTATGTGAAATAGTGCTTCTCATGTCAATCACAAATCCTGAACTAGGAGAAGCTACAACAAAAGAGCTTTATTCCAATAGCCTGAAGGTATTAAAAATGTTAAAAACTACATAAATACTATGGTACAGTATACTAAAAATAGTATAATTATGAAGTCCCTGAATTAACCCTTTACTTGTTTTTAAACAATGGGAAATAATTCTTATAAATTATATACAAACTTTTAAAATAAAATACCCTAGGAAATTGTGATATATTTTATACCAGCTAAAAATAAAATCAACTAGACTTAAAATTCATAATCACCTCACTCATTCAGGTTTATTTTATGCAGAATCCTCCCCCCACCCCAAAGTTTGGCCATCTGAGGAAACAGGTTCCTAGTATAATCAATTTCCTGGTCGAGCCTAATCTAATGTTGCTTAAGAGTTAACAGAGGGATGAAGCGTGGCAATAAAAGCAAGTGAGAAAAGAAATACCTGGTGAAGATATCTTAAAAATGAGGAGAGTAAAGAGTAAATAAGTAAGAAAAAGTAGAACAAAACATGCAATCCAAAACAGACTAAAACTGTAAGCTTGTAACCAAATAATGCAATAAAAAGTGAAGGGCTAGCAGTCTATGCAGGGATTGCCAATGTAAACATATACTCAGCAGCTAATGAATTTTGCAGTTAAGGATACGCTCCATGACTGAAAATTTAGTATTCAGTTTAAATGGTTCTTGTTAAGAATGAGACCTGAAAAACAATTCACGGTCCAGTGTACAAGCTGAGTGGCAGTGGAAAGAGCAGAGGCAGAGGCATGGGCATGCAGGCACACTAGCCAGCGCTCAGGCCCGCGAGCGGGGGGCCAGGCCAGCAGCAGTGGTGAAGGTAACGTGCTGCTCATCTCCAGGAATCTGTGCACAGGCACAAAGGGAAACTGTAAAAAGCGATGGCTTCCACCATGATAAAGCACAACAGTTTATACACTTTACAAAATGCCTTCCAATACATTATTTTCATTGATAAGTATTTTCTCATATTATTATCTCATTTGATGTTGTTATACCTATTTAATACTTGATTGAAATTGAGGGTCAGGGAAGTAACTGACTTTATCAGGTCACAAATGTCATCTAAGTGGCCAAGACAGGCCTCAAACCCAAGTGTTCCGCCGCTACATCTAATCTCGGGCTACGGTTGTACAGTCTACCTGAGTACGCTGGTATAGCTAAGGTATAGCTAAGTGGGGATCTGGCAAGAGCCTCTTTTTCAAACCCACAGGAAACCTGAAAGTCATGTCCTCTTTTTATAAGACATTGGGAGAAGGAGTTACTATAATGCTTGCTATAATTCTTTCAACTACATCATGTCCCTAAAAGACCCATAAATTGGAACAATTATGTAACTTTCCATTGCAAACTTCAATATCCTTTCTTCCAAAGTCCTTGAGTCCTAATTGGTTATACCATTTATTTTATGTATGATCCCAAGTCATCAATGGAATTCCTCTGGGCTTCAATCTCTAAATCTATACGATAGGGAAAGTAATTTCTGCCTTTCATAGGATAGCTATGAGGTCTAAGTGAAATAATGTATTTGGTGGAATAGATTAAGAAGCAGAGTTCTGATGGAGGAGAAGTCCAATTTGGACCGAGGAGCTGAATTTCTGGCTATTTACTGCTTTCTATTTCATATTCCCATTCAAACAATGGAGACACAAAGACGCAAGTCCTTAAGGGAAAGACTAAGCTAATAATTGGTGGCTAGTAGCCAAAATACTGTAGGATCAGTTAAAGCATCCTAGGTTTAGAATAGGGCTCACTTTGAAAATTCCAGTATTTCTGCAGTTCCATAAAATAGATGTTGTGATAGTTCAGAGGGAAAGGACAGCATTTAAACCATGGACCTAGACAAAAGTTAGTAACCACTCTGAAGTCTAATCACAGAAGACCCACATGTGTTAATATGCTATAAATATATTCTTTTTAAAGGTAAAATAAAAGTGTGCCTTTATCTTAGAGCACACTAATATAAAAACAAAGTTCTTCTTTACTTAAGGTACAAAACTGTATCAACACTCTTTACCACAAGATGTCACTATTGCCCAAGAGCAACATTACAAAACGTTTTTTATTTTTATCAGCATCTTACCTTAATATCCTTTAGAGAGACAAACTTCTCAATACCTAATTCAATCATATCCAGCACATGGTAGTCATACATACGACCTAGAAGGAAAATTCATTTTCTTTTATGCATTTATTTTTCCCAAACAATTTATCTGCAATGTTCCCACCTACCTGCCATGTTCAAAACATCCTGGTATCTGCCTCTTTTCCTTTTCCTTACAACCCTCAAGCCCATCTCCTCTTCCTTAAATTTTCCACATGACCTAGGATAGATAGTTGCAATCCTGGTCCTGCAAAGGATCTTAGAGATCATTTAGCCAAAGTCCCTTGTTTTACAGAAGAGTAAATAAGGCCCACAAAGGGTTAAAGGTTTGCTTGCTTAAGCTAGTGAGCATGCCAGACCAAGAATCAAAACACCCAAGGCAAAGGGTTTTTTTTCCATTTCAAATGTATCCATTAAACAGATATTTATTAGGAATAGGCAGGAATCCTACTTTGTTTCTTTCTAACTCTAATAATGATTTAGGATATGTATGTTTTGTATTAGAAAAATATCTACAACTTGAGGTAGGGTAATATTTATATGCCCTTTCCTTCTTTACCAGAAGAATGGCAGACAAAAAAATTTTATTCAAACTCCCATGGAAAAATACCGGTTAAGAGCTTACTAGTCACTCCTGAATCCTCAACATCATCAATTATTTGTCATGGAAGTGACTCTATAAAGAAAAATATTACCAAGTAAATGATACTTACCTATTACTAGATTATTTGGCCGCTTCTTATTATGGGAGCCAAACATAAATAAAGAACAATCTGACTTCTTTGAAAAGAATTCCTAAAAAACCAAAGAAATCCCACTCAATCAATGAATAAATATAAGAAATTTAAAAATTGTACCTCTGAACTAAAGGTATATGTGTGTGTATATCTGTTTTTTTCCAGTGTAAGTTAATGAAGACTTAATGAACTACATGGGAATAAACAGATGAAAAGGACTTTATTTCTACCTTTTACTTCAAATTTTCAAAAAGATGTAAGTTCAAAAGTAAAAATATTTTATTCTACTACTAGGTTAATAGATAGACCATTTATATTTTCAGCTACAGTTATTTTGAAATAGCACATCAACTATTTAATTTGCTGAACAAATGCCTTTACTCATGGGACATTACTGTTATCATTAATCAATATGGCACTTTTGGATTTTTACAAATGGACTCAGAAGTTTACAATGCATATGTCCACTCTTCATTAAAAACTCCACTCACACAAGGATCTCGCCCTAGAATTTCCATGCCACCCCAGCTATGACTAGTTCCATTTTGTGTACCCGGCAAGGGCTGACTGACCGAACTGTACTGTTCCTACCATGTGGTTCTTTGCCATTTGGTTCTCCAAAGTATTGACTTCTCTAATAGATTTGACAGGAGTGGCAACAGTTACCCTCACAGCTCCTTTTATACTGACACACATGCTTACTACATCTCACATCGTGTGATTCAGTTTACTGAGATTCCCAATCTCAGCACAAAAACTAGTTGCAAAAAGTTCTTAAATTAATGACAAAACATTAAAGATCAGATAAAACTATCATAATCCTCAACTTTTCTTTATTGGTTCCAAGATTCCCTCAAGTGCGGGCCCCTAGTGTGGCTGTCACTCATTCGCGTTTAAGTAGAACCGAGCAGGGCAAACAACTACCCACTTGCCTGTCCGCTCCTCATGTGGAGGATGCAGAGCAAGAAAAACCAAGAATTCTAGCTCTGTCATTTACAATGAAATCTAGTTAACCTTTCTGAGAATTAATTTTATCACGTGTATATCAGGAATAAAAATATCCCCTGCAAGTCTGCAAGGGCCACATGAGTTGTCGTATGTTAAAGTAACTTATACTGGCTCTGGCACAAATTAGGTGTTCAAAAAAAGTTTTTTTAAATGGCCAAATTAATAAAAATGCTTTCTTCTGCTTTTTCACACTTTCTCTTTATGACTAACACCCCAAGCTTTCCATAAACTACCTTTCACATATATACTGGCTTGGCCAAAAAGTTTGTATGGTTTTTTTCCTGTAAGATGGCTTTAGTTACCTTTAACTTCATTCAAAACAATTTTGTTAGATTGTATGTGACAACTGTCATATCATCTTGCATTTAAAAAGAAACATCAAAATTGGTGAATTTTTGTATAGCCATTTTGATATTGAAGATAGAAGAAAATACACAACATTTTGGCGCAGTATCCTTTACTATTTCAAGAAAGGTAAACATTCAACTGAAATTCAAAAAAAGATTTGTGCACTGTATGGAGAGGGTGCTGTGACTGATCCAATATGCCAAAAGTGGTTTGTGAAGTCTTATGCTGGAGATTTCTCACTGGACGATGCTCTCCAGTTGGGTACACAAGGTGAAGTTGAGAGCAATCAAATCAAGAGATTAATTGAAAGCAATCAACCTTGTACCATGCAGGAGATAGCCAACATACTCAAAATATCCAAATCAACAGTTTTGGTGAAAATGAAAAATGTCTTTTATTTTATGGAAAAAAAAATATGGACTTTGTGGCCAACCCAATGTAATATCTCCCTCTGTTGTTCTTCTCCGTAAAACCCACTTTCTGTTAAGTCTAGAGCAAAGACTGTCAAATTACCTGCAAAATGCCAGATAGCAAATATTTTAGCACTGTTATATGCTTTAAAAAAAAACACCTTTAAAAATATAGAAGTCATTCGTAGCTAATGGGCCTCACACCAACAGGGATTCAGCCTACAGGAAATATATTTGCCAATTCTTATTCTTTTTTTTTAATCCTTTTATTGTTTGGTTTTTGGTTTTTTTTTTTTAAGAGCGGGGAAGGGAGGCAGAAACATCGCTATGAGAGAGAAACATCCACTGGTTGCCCCTTGCATGCTCGGGCCACAACCTAGGTATGTGCCCTTACCAGGAATCGAATCCACAGCCTTTCAGGCTACGAATTGATGCTCCAACCAACTGAGCCACACCGGCTAGGGTGTCAACTCTTAATTCTAAAGCACAATTCTAAGACCATAGTGTAAGAAAATTGGGGTAGGGAGGGCAGGAAGAGGAATTCAACCACGTTTGCAACATGACCACTGCTTCCATAGCCATTTTGAACTTAGAGGTCTAAGATTTATTATTGCCCATGAGATATCTCCTATCTCCAGAGGTAGGAGAACAAAGAGGACATATCATGATATCAAGTGTAAGAAAAATTACATCAACATTGGATTGAAAAAGAGTAGCATAATCAATAAAATACAATAAAAAATAAACATAAAAAAAGAAGTAAGGAATGCTACCGATTCTACAACATAAGAGCATTGCTACAAAGTGGTCACTCAACTAAAAGGATCATAGTTTCACAAAACAATACTAGCCTTTGATAAGTGATATATGGAACAGATACAATTCTGGGTTAGACCCTGTGTTTTTACACAGACCCTCCAGCAAATGACTGTGAAAAACCCAAGACTTGCAATAAAAGTAATCCGGTAAACACTGAATATTAATTTTGCTATTTTTCTTCTTTTTTTAAATTTTATTTTTCAATTATAGTTTACATTTCAACATTATTCTGTATTAGTTTTAGGGGCATAGCATAGTGGTTAGACAACCACATACTTTACAAGGTGCTCCATACCCCCCCCCCTCACTTCAAGTACCCACCTGGCACCATACAGTTACTACAACATTGTTGACTATACTCCCTGTGCTGTACTTTGAATCCCCATGGTTCTTTTGTACCTACAAATGAGTACTTCGTAATCCCTTCACTTTTTCCCCCTAGCCTCCCAACTCCCCTTCCTATGGCATCCATCAGTCTGTTCTCTGTATCTATCTGTTTCTATTTTGTTTGTTTGTTTACTTTGTTCTTTAGATTCCACAGATAAGTGAAATTACATGGCATTTGTCTTTCTCTGTGTGGCTTATTTCACTTAGCATAGTATTTCCTACGTCCATCCATGCTATCACAAACGGTTAAGACTTCATTCTTTTTTATGACAGAGTAATATTCCACTGTATATAGCTATAACTTTTTTGTCCACTCATCTACTATGGGCACTTGGGGTACTTCTATCTCTTGACTTTTATAAATCATGTGACAAGCCCATTTTTTTTCTTAATTTTCATTGCAATTAGTTGCCACATTAGCATAAGATGTTCAATGTTGGTCTTCTAATTAACTGAGATTCTAATCAAAGCTCTCTTTTAAATTCACTAACTAAAAGAAGAAACAAGCAATGGTGTTCCTGTCCAGAGAACATAATTACATTCTGATTCCTTTTATAAAGTCAATTTAAACAGTTTAAACCACGTACTCCCTTAAGATATATTTAAAAAAGAAACCAGTACAATCACATACTGAAAGTCCACTCATAATTCACTATATACCACCTTTTACCATCTGATTTCATTCACTAGGCTTTTTCATTTCATTGAGGTTGTAATACACTTAAAAAGAAATTTGATTAACTTTAGTAAAGCAACTAACAACTGTTAGTAATTAATACATGTAGAGTGCCTTGTTCTAAAAATATCCAAAGACAGATTTTTAAAAATCAAACTTACTTTAAAAGAACAGACTCATAACAAGCTTCCTTTTGACAATCGATTAATTACGCACTTAAAATGCAATTAAAGTTTTAAAAATTCTACCAAATGACTTGCAAGCAGTGGATAATACATACTAGTCACAGTGAAATGTAAGATCTATAGTCCTATTTTAAAAGTATTATTTCTCCTCCATTTTACATCAAAATTCTCTCACACAGGATTTCTAATTTTAAAAATATCATATATTAGGAGTACTAAATAAATTAGTCTGAATAATCACTTACATGCTCTTTTAAATCAGAAAGTTTTTCATACTTACCAATGATGTCTGATCCTCAAATGGTCTTGTAATATTTTTCCTAAAAATATTTTTAAAAGGTGAGTCATTTTAATAATCTTAAAAAGCAATTCACTCATAACAATATATAAGTAAATATAATTTTATATTCAGATGATCAAAAAAGATATTCTCTCATTCAAATATTTATTTAGTGGCTATTATGTGCCAGGCTCTGTTCTAGAAGCAAGAGATACCATAATACATTTCAAACAAAATCCTTGTTTTCTTGGATATTACATTCTAGTAAAAATATTAAACTTCAAAAAGTAATAACGGTGGTGCCAAAAATAAAATAGGGTGTTCTTTCAGTGTGAAAAGTGGAAAATGACCGAGCTGAGACCTGAGACCCTCACAATTTTTGAGCTTAAGAGTAGGAAGAGCTTGGACTAGAATAAGTAAAGTTTCTGGGGTAAAAATAAACATAGATTATTGAAGAAAGAGAAAGAAGGCAAGTGTCACTGGAGCTGAGTGAGCAAAGAGATAATGGTGGTTAAAGATATGTAGTACCTCTCTGGACAATGTTAGGCAATGTACACATTAAAAGAGGAATAGGAAGCACTACAGAATTTTAGGCAGAAGAGTAATGTCAATGAATTCAAATTTTTCTTTTTCTTTTTTAAGATTGTATTTATTTATTTTTAGAGAAAGGGAAAGGGAGGGTGAAAGAGGGAGAGAAACATCAGTGTGTGGTTGCCTCTCGCGCACCCCCTACTGGGGACCCGGCACACAACCCAGGCATGTGTCCTGATTGGGAATCAAACTGGCGACCCTTTGCTTTGCAGGCCGGCACTTAATTCACTTTGCCATAACAGCCAGGGCCAAACTTTCCTTTCAAAGGACTGCTCTGTCTTCTATATGAGAAGGGAATGTAGTATGGTAAGAATGAATGGAGTCAATAAGCTATAAAGTAACCCAGAAAGAGAAAAATAAGTGGTAGACTGGATTACAACAGTAGAAGAGATGAAGAAGCAGCAGGTAGAGAAATGGAGAACATACTATCTTTCATGCAAAAGAGAAATAAGAATATATACCTTTATTTGCTTGAATGCATAAAGAAATTTTGGTGAGATACATAAAAGAAACTAATGACGGTGGTTGTTCTGGAAAAATGTGTGTTACATTTTCAGTGTATAATTTATGATTTTTTAAAAAGTATTTTATTTATTTATTTTTAGACAGAGGGGAAGGGAGGGCAAAAGGGAGGGAAAGAAACATCAATGTGCAGTTGCCTCTCGTGCACCGCCTACTGGGGACCTGGCCCGCAACCCAGGTATGTGCCCTGACTGGGAATTGAACTGGCGACCCTTTGGTTCACAGGCTGGCACTCAATCCACTGAATCACACCTGCCAGGGCTAATTTATGATTTTTAATCATAAAGTATAAAAGTTTATGATTTTTATGGATTTAAAAAGAAAATTATATATACATGATCTCAGTTTTGTTTAAATAAAGTAACTGTACAGATATAAAAATGGGGAGAAATTATGTCAAAATGTACAGTGCTTATCTATGTGTGATTTATCCTAATAATGTAAGATAAACACATTATTACTTTTATAATCAGTAAAAGTATTTTGAGTAATAACTAAGAGCAATTCATAAATAAGTAAATATGACCTGCTAGAAACATGGAAATATAAGTTAAACAAAATATCATTTTCATTTTTTAATTAAAAAAATAAAATAAAACACCTGGTGTGTCTGGTGTGGCTCAGTGGCAGGCCTGCAGACTGAAAGGTTGCCAGTTCGGTTCCCAGTCAGAGCACAAGCCAGGTCCCCAGTTACGTGCATGCAAGAGCCAACTGATGGATGTTTCTCTCCCTCTCTTTCACCCTCCCTTCCCCTCTCTCTAAAAAAATAAAATAAAATCTTTAAAATAAAAAAAAGTAGTAAAACAAAAGTAGGTAAAGGCCCATGAAACTTTTATATTGCACCCTGTCAAAAGGATAAACTTTACAAAAACCAATGTTAATATGCTATATTGGGCATGAAGCTATAACCTGTAATCTCATGTTTAAGACCCTCATGTAGGAACTAATTCAAAAGGTAACTCATTTGTGTAAAAATGGTCACTTTAGCATTATTTCTAAGAACAAGAAAATGAAAAACCTAAATCCTCCCACCTCATATTAAGGAATAGTGAAGTAAATTTTAGCATAACCATTTAACAGGCATTATACTGGCATACTGAAAGGGCCAAATGGAAAAGGCTTGATATACAATCGCATAAATGGAACACAGATAAACTTTTCATTCATTTTGCTAATGAAAGCATATAGACACCAAAAGCTACATGTTTTGTGACTCCATTTACATGACATTCTGTCAAAGGAAAGACTGTAAGGACGGGAAAAAAAAAGTCATTAGTTACAAGGGGGAGAACGGGAGAGAGCTATAAAAGAGCACTGCACAAAGGAATTCTCAGTATAATGCACTGTTTCTGTATGACTGCAGTTGCAGACACAACTCAGTGCCTCTGTCAAAACCCACTAAATTGTACACCACAAAGAGTAACTTTTACATACATAAATTAAAACCACTACCAGGATGCGGTGGAAAACCCAAAATAGAATACAAACTGTAATAAATGACCCTTACACAATGGAGGGGGAAAAACAAAAACAAACAAACAAAAAACACCTAAGTTACATTGGAAAGTGGTATTTTGGTTGGATAACTTAAGGTTAAAGATATAAAAAAATCCTGTACTCTAGTTAGTACATTATTTATTATTGGGTTAGAAAATCTGAAACTATGTATATACTAGAATTATACAAATCAGTAAATATATTGTAAATAATGGAAGCCAGTTTCCTTACTGTCAGAAGTAGTTACAAACAATAAAAGGAAAAAGGCTGAAATAAAGTCTGTGGTACTGGATTGAAAGTATCATTATGAACTCAGGGTTTTTAAATATATAGGGTGGGGCATAGTAGGTTTACAGTTGTTTGTATAGAAAATTATAATTAATAAATAGTAATACAAGAATAAACCCTGTTTCATGTACTCACAACTGGAAACCTATTTTTGCCCCACCCTGTATAGCTAAATATAAACAAATGGAGATGTACATATATGCGAAGGTTAATATATAAAATATGTATTTGTAAAATCTGCCTGCTGAGAGGACCTAGAGACAGTGACATTCCAGTAGCAAATGAGCACACTTAGTGCCCAGATCTTTGTTCCTCCAAGGCTCCATGGAGAAGGGGCTGATTCCACAGCTGTGGCAAAGAAAAATACAGGATGAGCCTGGAGCATCTTGGGGTCCCAAAAAGTAGGTACTCAAACAGGGTGCATGTTGAAAGGGCATAGGAGCCAACCTGAAAGAGATTTCAATGGCCAAATGTAGAATAATTTAAACAACACAATAAAAAATAATAGCATTGGATTATAACCCAAAAGAATATAGTAAACATCCGTCAGTCCACATTGCTATAAATAACTAACTAAACAGAGAGAGGGGACAGGTTTTCCTTACAGAATTCCAATTAATAAATATAGAAGGAATGAGGAAAATAGAAAACTACCATTAGACCACGACAGTAATCACTGCTGTAGACCAGATTCACAGATGGATGCTAAAATTAATAAGCAGGAGCGTAAGGAGAAAAAGGATTATTTGCATAGTCTTTGGATAGTCTCAGAGTATCTCCTCTAAACTGTACCTTACTAATTACAAAGAGAAAAACAATAACTTTATAGTGGAGAAACCCAGCAGACACCTCTTTACCCAAGGTTAATGCCACCAGTGTAAGACATTATCATGTACTCCCTGGTATGATTTTCTGAGAAAAAGCACATCACGTTGGTGGTATTCTTGCCAAAAATGCATAACCTCAATCTATTCATGAGATACTTAAGGCAAATCCAAAATGAGGGATATTTTACAAAATAACTGATAAGTGTCGAGGTCAGGAAAGATAAGGAAAGATTGAGGAACTGTCACAAATTAGAGGAAACTAAGGAGACACGACAACTAAATGTCATATGGGATCCTGGTAGGGAAAAAGGACATTAGTGGAAAAATTGGTCCAAACTAAATCAAGTCTGCAATTTAGTTAACATTATTGTACCAATGTTAATTTCTTATTTTTGATCACTGCATTATTGTTACACAAGATAAACATTAAGAGGATATGGATGAAGGACATATGGGAACTCTACAATTTTTGCAATTTTTCTTAAGTCTATAATTATTTCAAAATAACATATACGCTACTATTACATCTTTGTAAGAATACTGAATACATATGAAAACAAACTGGAAAGAAATAAATGAAAAATACAAATAGCTACATGTAAGGAACTACAGTGTTTTTAAAAAACATATTCCTTGTGTGGAGCACCCATGCACAAAGCCAAAGTAGGAAAGGACTGATGGAGGGAGGTGGGGGAGGGGGGCAGGGGAAAGCGGTGGTGGGAAGGTGGAGACAAATGCATTTGAACAATTAAAAAAAAAAATTCCTAAATCTTTCTTAAAGTAGTGGTAACTTTTATAATGAATTAATATAAAGTAAAAAAAAAAAACTTACTTTTTATACAGGACTCCATATGGCTTTTTCAGTGCATACTGTAAAACATAATTTAGAGCTTTCAGTACAAAACACATTTGGTAAAGCAGAGGTAAAAATAAGGCATTGTTAACAGTCATTATACAAGATTACTCTGCTCCCTAAATCCTATTCTGATGTCTTCTGCTTGGCTCCCTTTTGATCACATATGACAACTTGCAACATAGGCTTACTACTCTAATTTAGCCTGGACTTAATTACAATTTTCTATGCCCTTTCAATAGTCTATCCACAAAAATTCTACCTACTCCATTCTTTCCAGGCAAACAATTCCAGAGTAGAAAGAGCAGAAGAAAACAGAAAAAATAAATCCTATCAGGAAAAGCTGAGAGAATTGAAATAATGTCTGGAAATAAGAAAACTGAGACAGTCATTAATGATGACAATCAGAATACTGATTGTCAGTATTAACACAGCCAGTTTAATTAAACACAGCCCTTTAAAAAGTTCCTGTTATTCAACCTCCTTTTCATTTTACTTCCTACTTATTTTCCCCCATCTACTAATAATATTCTTATTATCTATATGGTCGGTACTTTTCTGCCATAGGGAATAACAAAGATTTAAGGCATACCCTTGCATTAGAAGAGGTAAATGAAGGAAAATAATGAAAAATAAGGTGAAATGAACATTCATTAACTATAGGGCTAAGTTGGTTGGAGCACCGTCCCATGACTGAAAGGTTGCAGGTTCAGTTCCAAGTCAGGGTACATGTCTGGGCTGTGGGTTTGATCCCTGGTTTGGGTGCCTCAGGGAGACAACCAGCCAATGCTTCTCTCTTCCATCAGTGTTGCTCTCTCAAAGCAATGAAAAAATGCCCTCAAGTGAGGACAAAAAAAGAGAGAGAGGGAATTCACCAGTAAAATCTATCTTTTTACTAACACTTATGATGATTCTTGACCACATTTCGCTGCCTCAGTGGAATGAACATTACCACATATTCCTTTTTTTTTAAACTGATTTGGGAGAGAGGGAGGGAGGGAGAGAGGAAGAAAACAACATTGATCTCCTATTCCACCCATTCATGCATTTAATGGTTGATTCTTGTATGTGCCCTGACCAGGGATCAAGGCCACAACCTTGGGGTATGGGGACATCTCTCTAACCAACTGAACTATCCTGCCAGGACCATTACCACCTAGTTTTGACAACTCAAGAGCCATCAGTATGAGTGTTAACTACAGTAATAATCTGTAATATTGTGCTGTTCTTGGATATTACTTAAATATGTAGGGTTACTGTGTTGAAAGGATATTGGGAGAACAAGAGCAGTATCCCACCAACACTATGACATTTCAGACAGATAAGAAGAATGAACAAGTTAGGTATCTGAATTAACTACTGTGTTTAAAAATCAGAGGGAGTTTAGTCAAGTTTTAAAATCTATTCAATTATTTAGTTGATTTAACTCCAAGAATCCATCTGCCATACTCAAGTAACCTGCTACAGACTATGCCTTTCACTCACTGTTTAACATTTACTGAGCAACTACTACGTGCCAGACACCTGGCCAGACACCAGGCTATCGAAGTACCTAAAACTTTTATCTTCACCATTTAAATTCCATGTCCTAAACTGAACATACCACTTCCCCCCACCCCAACCCTGCTCCACATGACATATTCTTTAATTGGAATTATCGCTCATCAGACATCTAAGCCAGAAACCTTGGAAGTCATACTTTTACTCACACACAAACTCTTAAGCCCTCAACATCTATTCTCTCTGATCATCTCTCATTTTCAATGTCACCACTGGACTCCTGATGCTCTTTACCTGACTGACATCAAAGGCTTAAATACTTTCCTACAGTTGTTTCAACCCTCTTCAGTCAAGTTGATTAAAGGATCAGATCTCTCACCTAAAATCTTTCATTGGGTCCACCGAGCTTTCAGAATAAAGCTCAAACTCCGTATTATTATCTTATTCCTGCCTCTTCTAGTTTTCATCTAGCCCAGTCTTTTTTCACCTTCCCAACTATTTTCATTTCCCCAAAGGCATCATGCTGCTTCACACTTTTCTTTCTTTCTTTCATTTTCTTTCCTTTCCTTCAGATTTATTTATTTTCAGAGAGGGGAGAAAGAAAGGGACAGAAACATCCATGTGAGAAACACCAACTGGTTGCCCTTCATATGCACCCCAACTGGGACCCAACCCACAATCCAGGCATGTGCTCTGACTGGGAATCAAACCCACGTCCCTTTGGTTCCCAGGCCAACCAACCAAGCCATACCAGCCAGGGCCACACTTCCTCTGAGCAAGCTTTTTCTCAGCCTTGGAAACCTTTCCCTTTCTCACCCAGATCTTGTTCCAAGGCTACCTCCCATCCCACCCTGCGCACGCTTCCAGCACAGCACTCAATTCACAATGCAATTTCTACTTGTCTCTCTCCCTCACTAAGCTCACTGAAGGAAGAGACTGTATTTCATCTAACTATTAATCCTCAGCACCTGGCACAATAACTGCTCCTGGTGAAGGAATATACAGTAATATGCAGTTACTTTACTTTACAAATTAGATATGTTCCTTAATGTGGGTAAACCATTTTAAAATCAAACTACTTTAAGGAAAACCAGTAGTCAGTGACTCAACAAGGCAAATAACCTCCAACTTGAGTTTTTCTCCAAGGCTAGCTGTTTTTCAGGCTAGGATAACTTACCTATGTATATATTTCTCTAGCAGCCCAACTCATTTGCTGAAAATTTCCTAAAGTCATTCCTAAAATGATTTCAAAACCATTTTTTTTTTTAATTTTAAGATTTTATTTATTTTTTAGAGAGAGGGGAAGGGAGGGAGAAAGGGAAGGAGAGAAACATTAGTTGGTTGCGTCTCCCACGTCCCAGCTGGGGACCTGGCCAGCAACAGAGGCAGGTGCCCTGACTGGGAACTGAACCAGCTACCTCTCAATTCTCAGGCCGCACTCATTCCACTAAGCCACACCAGCCAGGGCTCAAAACCATTTTAAAAATAAGTACATATATACATACCACATCTCTAAGTACTTGTGTAACTGTTAAATTTGCATTTCCCCCTTTAATTAGCATGGCATTTTTAATATTTTCACTTAGTTTTGGTTCTCTCTTCTCAAGGAATCTCTTGGCCCTTTTCGTTTTGGGTTTTCTGTTAAGAAAAATCACAATTTATAACAACTCAAAACATTTTCCTCATATTATAAAACCATAACTTGGTTAATGTGCAAAATCTTAAATATCAACAGAAACATTACAAAACATTATCAGTTAGGATTAACCACTAAACAAAAATCTCACTTTTTAGGGAGATAATTAGTAAAAAATATTCAGTTATTTCTGTTAAATAAATTTTATTAGCTTTTGAGTTTTTTTTAAAAAAGGGCTTTCATTTTAATATTCCCAACATTCTTTTATTACTGCTTCTTTATAAACCTTTTTTTATTAAAGGAAAGAAAAAGAACTCAAGTGAATACTGTTGCTATTTTTACTTCACTGTTTTTTCTTCAATCTTAAGAGAGTCAAACTAACTATGTAACCTACCACAAAGAACTGCAAACTGACTGCTGATCAACCTGTGGGCAGTTACTAAACATAAGGAGGCTCATTGTTGCTATCTTTTCTCCAGGTTTAATACCACAATGCCTGCCAGGAATTATACACTATCCCACTCACATTATTGTCACCAAAGGGGACACTTTATTTAGAGAGTCACTCTATTAAGGCTTAACTTTCACCAAGACCCTATGGGACAAGTTCAGTCATTATTTTCATTTTGTAGATGAGGCACCTGAGGCCACAGAGGTAGGTTGCCCAAGGTTACACAGCTCGTAAGTAGCCAAATCTTCAAAATGAGCTAGATTTTAAAACTCACCTAGACCAATCACCCTGCAACATATGACGGGAAAACAAATTTATTATTCTGAGTTTATAACGTGACAGTAGAGGTAGAATGTGTTTTACACTTTTCTGTTCATGAAAAGAACTTCACCTCTGCTTCCACTACAGTGAGATCCTACTTTTCCAACAGTTCTCTATTTACTGAAAGAATTCCTCCTCCCTTAAATAACTATGACCATCCCTCCTTCTTCCAGTCCTGTGGACACTTTAGGGAGGAGGGAAGAAAACCAAGCAGAATGTACACATACTTTGGTTTACCATGCAAAAATTTAAAAATTCTCCTCCAGATAAAATGCCAAGTATATATAAAGCTCCTAATAATTTATTGGTTAATAAAGACATTATTAAATCAAATCAAGAGATATTTAGTGTGCCCACACGGCAATATAAATGCTATATGCTCTACCTTCAATGTAGATTGTTACTTCTCACTAGCAACAAATACAAGTAACACCTTATGTTTTATTTGTTATTTGTTTCCCAGTTAGATTGTAAACTAGTCTTACTCATCTTTGGCATTCCCCACATCTAGAGAAATATATAGCATATGCATTTTTTAAATTTCTAAATTAACGACTAAAAGAATGCTTTGTTGTTCACATGTTAACCCAGGTAAATCAGAAGAGGGGAACAGCAAATAACAGCAGGAATATTTAGGAGAACAACAAATATTTTTCATATTAATTTAAGGATAACTGAGGGAAGTGTGCATGGTTGGGAGGAAAAGAAAAAGCTAATACGCACTTTTACGTGCTTTACATACTTTCTCCCAACAATCCTCACAGTTCTTTGAGGTACGATTATGAACGGTATTTTACAAAGCGAGGCTTAGGGAAATTAAATGATCCAAAGCCAAAAAGCTTAAGTGGACGAGCCGGGTTTGGCATCTAGAACTGTCAGACTCCGAGGCCTGTGCTCGTAATCCCCCACTCTCCCACCCGCTCCTCCTTCGGAAATCCCACCATTTCTATTGGGCTTGTATAAAAAGCGGCCAATACCTCTGGGCAACCTCTCCCCCCATCCGCCCACCACCGCGGCGACCACGGCGCGATCCAGAAAGGCCCAGACGATTGGACTGATCGACCTCCACCCCGTTCCGACGGGCTGGGGGTGAGGATGAAGAGTGGTAACCAGGGGCAGGGGGATGCAAAAGCTACATCATTCCTTTCCTCCACAGAAGCCCCTCTCCCAACATTCCCCGCGGCAGGGAGTCAGCGAACTTACACAACTTTATCCAAAGCGTCCATCGCTACCGCTACGAGAAGTGAATGACCACACGTGCACCGCGCGATCACTACGAGGGAGGTCCGTGACCCGGAACAGGCGGAACGGGAACTGCCGTGTGATGCCACTTCCGGGGACCGGCACGCAGGGTACGCCTAGAGGCGCTAGCGGGTATTTTGGATGGAATCCTGTTCTCTTTCTTTGGATACGGGTTTTCGTGGCGCTTCTGTCCTGGAAATCGACGTATTCGGGAACCAGGTGTTCTGGAACTCCCCCAGGATAGTAAAAAAAGTTGATAGGTACTCATGTGATTACTAAAAATAGATCAATGTGAGGTGTGCATGAAAGTACACTACTGATTGATTTTTGTTCCAAATTTTTAATTGCTTATATATTTAACATACCCTTAAATTTACCCCCCTAAAGTGTACAATTCAGTGTTTTTTCGTATATTCAGAAGGATGTGCCACCGTTACCACTATCTATTCCAAGAACATTTTCTCTCTCCAAAAGGAAATACCCAGCTTTGCAACAAAAGCAGTCGCTCCCCTTTTCCCCCTCCTGCCATGCTCTGGCAACCAGTAATCTAAGTCTCCGTGGATTTGCCTATTCTGAACATATCATATAAATAGAATCATACAATATGTGGCCTTTTGTGCCTGGCTTGTTTCATTTTGTATGATGATATGTGTTGTTTAAGTTTCATATATATGCTGTTGTAGCATGTGCTGGTGAATCTTTTTTTTTTTTTTTTTTTTTTTTTTTTGAGGACTGGATATTCCATTCTATGGATATACAACATTTGTTTATCCACTGAAAAAATTATGGACATTTGGGTTGTTTCCACTTTTTGAGTATTATGAGTTATGTCATTTTAAACATTCATATACAAGTTTTTTAGCAGACATTTTCAATTCCCTAAGGGTACATTTGCTGGATCAAATGACAACTCTATACTTAACATTGCGAGGAACTGTCAAATTATATTCACTTGCACCATTTTACATTTTCATTAGTAATGTAAGAGTGTTTGGTACTGGTTTTTCTATTGTTGCTGTAACAAATTACCACAATTACTGGCTTAAATAACACAAAGTTATTGTTACAGTTCTGAAAGTCAAAAGTCTGAAATTAGTTTTGTAGGTCAAAAATTAAAACATTAGTTGGGCTGCATTCTCCCGAAAGCTCCAGGGAATAATCTGTTTCTTTGCCTTTTCTAGGTTCTATTTTTTTTTAAGATTTTATTTATTTATTTTTAGAGAGAAGGGAAAGGAGGGGGAAGGTGAGGGAGAAGGAGAGGGAGAGAAACGTCAATGTGTGAGAAACATATCAATAGGTTGCCTCTCACACACCCCCAATGGGGACCTGGCCCAAAACCCAGGCATGTGCCCTGACCAGGAATCAAACTGGCAACCCTTCAGTTCACAGGCCAGCACTCAATCCAGTGAGCCATACCAGGCAGGCCTCTTTGCCTTTTCTAGATTCTAGAAGCTGTCTGCATTCCTTGGTGTTCTTCCATATCCAAAAAGCATTGATTGAACCTGTTTCCATTGTCACAACTTCTTTTCCTCTGATTGTGGCACTACTGACTCCCTCTCATAAGACACCTGTGGCCCTGGATGTGACTCAGTTGGTTGGAGCATTGTTCCATAATCTAAAGGTTGTAGGTTCAATTCCCTGTTGGGGCACATACCTAGGTTGCAGGTTTACCACTAATCCCTGGTCTGGGCGCATATATGAGGCAGCCAATCAATGTTCTCTCTCACATCGACATTTCTCTCTCCCATTGACATTTCTCCCTCTCCTTTCCTCTCCCTCTAAAAGCAATGAAAAAAAAATGTCCTCAGGTGAGGATTAAAAAAAAGACCATTGTGATTATAGGGGGTCCACCTGAATAATTCATGATAATGAACCCGTGACAAGCATGCAACAAATTTTCTTTGGCCCTCTAAGGTCTTTTGGGGGGAGTCTTAGTCTATCAACCATAGATTCTAATTTCCCTATTCCTCACCAAAATTTGCTATTATCCATCTTTTTTTTTTCCCCCATTAAGCCACGCTAGTGGGTGTGAGGTGGTATATCATTGTGGTTTTTACTTGCATTTCCTGGATGGCAGATGATGTTGAGCATCTTTTCAGGGCTGATTGGCCATTTGTGTCTATTTAAATTTTTGCCCATTTTAAAATAGGGTTCTTATTTTATTGTTGAGTTATAATAGTATCTATACATTCTAGATAGAAGTCCCTTATCTGATATATAATTAACAAATATTTTCTCTCATTGAATAGATGCCTTTTCATTTTCTACATAGTGTCCTTTGAAGCAAAAAAGTTTTAAATTTTGATAAAGTCAAATTTATCCATTTTTATTGTTGTGGCTTGTAATTTTGGTGTCATATATGAGGCCATTCATTCCCTAATCCAAGATGATAAAAATTTACACCTATATTGTCCTCAAAGAAGTTCTATAATTTTAGCTCTTACTTTTAGGCTTTTGATCCATTTGGAACTAATCTTTGTGTATGGCATGAGATAGGGGTTCACTTCATTCTTTTGCATATGGATATCTATTTATCCCAGCACTATTTGTTAAAGAGACTGTATTTGTTCCATTGCATTGCCTTTGTTCTGTGGCCTAAGATCAATTTACTATAATTATGTGGACCTATTTCTAGGTTCTCCATTCTACTCCATTGACCTATTTATTCTTTCACCAATTCCACACTGTCTCTTATTGCAGCTTTATAGTAAGTCATGAAGTCACGTAATGTCAGTCCTCCTATTTTGTTTTTCTTCAACAGTGTGTTGGCTATTCTGAGCCTTTTGCCTCTCCATATGAACTTTAGAATCGATTTGTCCATCTCCACAAAATAACTTGCTGGGATTTTATTGGGATTGCATTGAATCTATAAATCAAGCTAGGAAGAACTGTCTCCTAGACAATAGTATGTCTTCCTATCCATAAATATGGAATATCTTCCCATTTTGTTAGTTTTTCTTTTATTTCTTTCATCAGAGTTTTGTAGTTTTCCTCATATAGATCTTGTACATATTTTGTTAAGTTATACCTATTTCATTTTTGGGGTGCCAATGTAAGTGGTATTGTTTTAGATTTCAAATTTTGATCATTGCTGAGTACGTAGAAAAGCAGTTGTTTTTGTGTATTAACTGTATCCCGCATCCCTGCTATAATTGCTTCTTAATTTCAAGAGTTTTTTGTTGATGCTTTCAAATTTTCTACATCATGTCATCTGAGAACTATGAGAGTTTTGTTTCTTCCTTCCCAGTCTGTGTACTCTTTATTTCCTTTCCTCGTCTTGTTGCATTAGCTAGGACTTCCAGTGTGATGTTGAAAAGCAGAGGTGAGGGGGGGTGTCCTTACCTTGTTCCTGATCTCAGCAGGAAAGCTTCAAGGTGCTCTCCACTAAATAGGATGCTAGCTGTAGGGTTTTGGGAAATAATTTTTACCAAGTTGAGGAAGCTCACTTCTGTTCCCAGCTTGCTAAGCATTTTTTTAAAAATAATGAATGGGTGTTGGATTCTGTCAAATGCTTGTTCTGCTTCTATTGATATGATCATGTGATTTTTTTCCTCTTTAGCTTGTTGATGTGAAAAATCACAATTATTTTTGAATGTTGAACCAGCTTTGCATACCCAAGAGAAATCTCATTTGGTCATGGTGTATAATTCTTTTTATACATTATTAGATTCAATTTCCTAAGATTTTTTCTTATGCTGAAGTAAAATATTCAAACTCAGAAGCTATAAAGTAAAATATTGACTCTATGACTATATTAAACATTTAAAACTATATAGTAATGTACATATAAAAAAGTTAAAGGACAAGTAATAGAATAGGAAATATTTGCAACACATCTAAAAAAGGGTTAATTGTTGGGGTTTTTTTAGCGAAAAAAATTCTACAAACATTTAGCCAATAAATGGATAAAGAATACCAAAAAGTCATTCAAAGTTTTTAAAAAATAACAGAAGTAGGCAAGAAATACATAAAAACAGGTTTAGTTTCAACAAATAGTGTAGCAACACATCATTGCCACAGTCAGATTAATAAGTACTAAAAATATTGGTAATATCAAGTATTGGTGACTGTGAAAGGAAGAGTGTATTCATAGATTCTTTCTTTATCTTCTTAAAGCAGACCCTTTAGCATATTTTGCAGTGCTAGTTTGGTGGAGGTGTATTCTTTTAGCCCTCTTTTGTCTGGGAAACTCCTTATTCCACTTCCATTTTAACTGAGAGCCTTGCTGGGTAGAGCGGTCTTGGTTGTAGGCCTTTGCTTTTCATTACTTGGAATATTTCTTGCCATTCCATTCTTGCTTGTTGTATTCTGTTGAGAATAAGCTGCTAGTCATACCAGGGCTCCCTTGTACGTTACTAACTCTTTCTCCCTTGCTTGCTTTAGAATTCTCTGTTTGTCTTTGATATTTGCCATTTTAATCATGATGTGTCTTGGAGTGGGCCTAAGTGCATTCCTCTTGAATGGGACCCTCTGTGCTTCCTGGATTTGTGTGACTTTTTCTCTCCTCAAATTAAGGAAGTTTTCTATCATGACTTTTTCACACAGGTTCTCTATCCCTTGCTCCTCTTCTCCTTCTGGTATCCCTATTATACAGATATTATTATGTTTCAGGTTGTCCTGCATTTCCCTAAATGCCTCTTCATTCTTTTTGAGTCTTTTTTCATTTGCTTGCTCTTTCTGGGAGCTTTTTTCTACCTTGTCCTCCAGCTCGCTGATTTGTTCCTCTGCTTCATCTAACCTGCTTTGGTTCCTTCTACTGTGTTCTTCAATTCAGAAATTGTATTCTTCATTTCCTCTTGTCTCATATTGATAGTTTCTATGTCCTCGTTCATGCTGATATAGTTTGTAGTAAGTTCCTTGTATTTTCCCTGTCGTTTTTTGTAATTCTCTCTGAGCTCACTGAGCTCATTGAGATTTCTTAGAACCATTGTTTGGAAATCAATATCTGATAGTTTACTTGCCCCTATTCCATTTAGTTCTCTTTCTGAGGATTCCTCCTTTCCCTTCAACTGGAAGGTGTTTCTTTGTCTTCCTATTATTTGTGAGACTCTT